GCTCAAACAATCCACCCGCCTCGGGCTCCCAGAGAGCTAGGATTATAGGCGTGAGCCACCATGCCCGGCCTAATTTTTAAATTTTTTTGTAGAGATGGGGTCTCACTACATTGCCCAGGCTGGTCTTGAACTCCTGGCCTTAAGCGATCCTCCTGCCCAAAGCAGTGGGATTACAGGCTTAAGCCGCCATGGCCTGCACATAACCTTTATTTGCATTTCAGTTATTTCCTTAGGAAAGAATACCAAAAAGAAAATTACTAGGTCAAAGAAATGTCCCTCTGCTCCAGAGAGGTAAACTGAAATTCCTGTTAAGGCTAAATTTTCTTCAAAATAGAGACTACGGTGGGGGAGGGGGCGTGGGGAATAAAAGTTGGTTAATGGGTACAAACATACAGTTAGATAAGATAGAAAGGAATAGGTTCTAGTATTCAATCGTATGGTAGGGAAATAATAAGTAGTTGATAATAATAATAAGTAATTGACAATAATTTATTGTATATTTCAAAATAGCTAACAGAGGATAATTGTATGAGGTGATGGACATCTCAATTACTCTGATTTGACCATTACACATTGTATACATGTATTGAAATATGTAACCCCAAAATATGTACAATTACGACATATCAATAAAAAAGTATTTAAAAATATAGACACTACCTTGGAGCACCTAAATATATAAAGCAAATGTTAACACTGAAGGAGAAACAGATAGCAATACAACTAATAGTAGGGAACTTCAATATTCCCACTTTCAACAATGGATAGAAAGCAAATCAACATGGAAGCAGTGGATTTGAACAACACTGTTCACCAAATGGACCTAACAGACATATACAGAATATTCCGTTCAACAGCAGCAGAATAAACATTTCTTCCAATCACATAGGGAACATTCTAGAGGACAGATCGTATGTTAGGCCGCAAAACGAGTCTTAAAAAATTTGGGAAGACTTAAATCATATCAAGTATCTTTCTTGAACGCAATAGTAAGAAACTAGAAATTAATAACAGGAGGAAAAGTGGAAAATTCACAGATATGTGCAAAATAAACAACACAGTCTTGAATAACCAAGAGGTCAAAGAAGAAATTGAAAGGGCAGTCAAAAAACATCTTGAGACAAATGAAAATGGAAACACAATACATCAAACTTACAGGATGCAGCAAAAGCAGTTCTAAGAGGGGAGATTACAGTAATACATGCCTACATTAAGAAGGGAATACTTCCAAATTCATTTGATGACCAGCATTACCCTGGTACCAAACCATAGAAGGACACTATAAGAAAATTGTAGGCCAGTATCCCTGTTGAACACAGATGTAAAAATCCTCAACAAAATACTAGCAAACTAAATTCAACAGCACACTAAAAAGATCATACACCATGATCAAGTGGATTTATCTCTAAGATGCAAGGATAGTTCAATATATGCATTTCAATAAATGTAATATACCACCAACATATCAGAATGAAGATAAAACATTAATAGAATGAAGGATAAAAATTATATGACCATCTTGATACAGAAAAAGTATTTGACAAAATTCAATATCCTTTCATGATAAAAATGCTCAACAATTAGGTATAGAAGGAATGTACCTCAACATAATGAAGGGCACGTATGACAAGACCACAGCTAACATCATACTCAATGGTAAAAAGCTGGAAGCTTTTCCACTAAGATCAGGAACAAAACAAGGATGCCAACTCTTGCCACTTGTATTCAATATAGCATTGGAAGTCCTAGCCAGAGTAACAAGGCAAGAGAAAAAAACAAAAGGTATCCACATCAGAAAGGAAGAAGTAAAACTGTCTGTTTGCAGATGACATGATCTTGTATGTGGAAAACCCTAAAGATTCCACCAAAAAATTATTACAACCAATAAATGAATTCAGGAAAGTAGCAGGATACAAAATAAACATACAAAAATTAGTAGCATTTGTATATACTAACAATGAGCTGTCTGAAAAAGAAATCAAGAAATAATCTCATCTATAATATAATAAATAAAAATCCAACATTTAAGGAATATGTTTAACCAAGGAGGTGAAAATCTATACACTGAAAACTATTAAACATTGATGAAAGAAACTGAAGACACAAATAAATGGAAAGATATCTTGTGATCATGGATTAGAATAACTAATACTGTTAAAATATCTATAGTACTCAAAGCAATCTACATATTCAATGCAATCCCTATCAAAATTCTAATGGCATTTTTCACAGAAATAGCAAAAAAAATCCTAAAATTCATATGGAACAACAAAAAGCCCCAAATAGCCAAAGCAATGGTGATCCTTATGCTAAGTGAAATAAGCCAGGTGCAGAAGGGCAAATAATACATGATCTCACTTATATGTGGAATCTAAAAAAGTTGAACTTATAGCCAGAGAATAGAATGGTGGTTGCCAGGGATTGGTGGGGTAGAGGAAAAGGAGAGATACTGGTCAAAGGGTAAAACATTTCAGTTAGGGCAATGCATAGGTTTCAGAGAGCTAATGAACAGCATAGTGATCATAGTTAATAATACTCTATTGTGTACTTGAAATTTGCCGAGAGAGTAGATCTTAAATGTTCTCACCACATACACAAACACAAAATAACTCTGTGAGGTGATGGATATAATTTGCTTGATTGTAGCAATCATTTTACAATGTATAATATATCAAAACGTAACAGCCAGGTGCAGTGGAGCATGCCTGAGTCCAGCTACTCAGGAAGCTGATGCAGGGGAACCACTTGAGCCTAGAAGTTCAAGGCTAAGTGTGCTATGATCACCCCCGTGAATAGCCACTGCATTCCAGCTTGGGCAACATAGCAAGACCTCATCTTTAAGTACTAAATTTAAAAACAATTAAAATAAATAAAAAAATTTTAAAAACCCACATCACACTGTACACTATAAATATATAGAATTTTTTTCTCAATTATACCTCAATAAAGCTGGGGGGAAAATTAAAAATTAAAAAATAAAATAGAGACAATCACAGACGCCATGTTCCATGTGAAAGCAGAAATAGTCCACACAGCTCTAGAGAATTAAAAAGACATCCCCTTCATCAAACTCTCACTAAATACCTTTTCTAACCAGGCGTGGCTGGGCACTGGGAACAAGGGATAAACAAATCATACCCTCAAGAAGCTCACAATATAGTGGGTGAAAAAAACAGCTGCCTGTCAAAGGTCATAGTCCCTATTTGCGGTGGTTTTAAAACATGTCCATAAATTCTTTGATATTCCTTCCTCTTCAAGGGGTGGAATGTCAGTCCTTTCCCCTTAGTGTAGGCTTACTTAGTGACTCACTTCTAATAAATAGAATGTGATTGAAATGAAAAGTGTGTGACTTCCAAAGGTAGGTCATAAAAGACCACTGTGGATTCTACCTTGTTCCATCTCTTAGATTACTCGCTCTGGGGAAAGCCAGATGCCATGTCATGAAGACACTTAAGTAGTTCATGAAGAACTATGTCACAAGGATCTGGGCTCCCCTGATAACAGCTGCCAAAGAACAGAGGCCTTTGCTATTAGCCATGTGAGTGAGTTGTCTTAGAACTGGTAACTCTAACTCCAGTCAAGCCTTCCAGTGACTGCATCCCTAGCTCTCTGGTCAACGTCTCAACTGCAACTTCATGAGATACCCTGAGGCACCCAGCTAAACCACTCCCAAATTCCTGACCCACATAAACTACTGGGATTAATTTGTTATTTAGCAATAGATAACTTAAACACATTCTAGTGATAACTGCAATTAGAGCTTGAGGAGAAAAAATAGAAGGAAGGAAATTAAAAATTACAGTGCTAAGCATATGTTGATGACTTTATCTACATTATCCTATTTAATCTTCACACCAACCCTACAAAGCAAGTATTATTTCCCTTCGATCTACGGATAATGGAACTGAGGCACAGAGTTAAAGTGAGTGGCTCTCAAGGTCCCACTACTTGCAAATAGCATTACCTAAGGTTTGCCTAACTTGAAAGGTTGCACTCCTCCCCCCATTACTCTGCTGAATTCTTCTCTTCAATCTCCAATCTCCCTACAATGTGCTTCTCCAAGGACTGTGAGGACCCTATGGGAAGAGAGCTCATCATGAAAGCTCAGGTGTGATGGCAGCACCGGCATCAATGATAAGGACCAAAGAATGCAGTCCCCTTCTTACCTTTTCCAGTCACATAATAGGCTCCTAGTTTGTAGCAGCTATCGCTGTGCTTGTGCTCTTCACAGTTGAACTTCAGCACCTTGGCAGCCTCATCAAAATTCTTCTGGATCCCTTCCAAATAGTCCACTAGCCGATAACAACCTGTGAGGAGAGGGTAAAAGCTGTTTTTCACATCTGGGGCTGCTGCTTGCCAGCGAGGAGGGCCCAGGTGTGGCAGGTCAGACAGTGTCATTTATTTAAGACACCCCTTGTCCTCCCAAGGTGTGGCAAGTTGACTTTACTACAAAGAATGTAGGTGGCGTTCAGCCATTCCTACAAATGACATTGTCTTCCCTTGGCCAGGAACTGAATGACATACAGACTAGAGAGACCTTAGCCCCTGCACTGTCTCCATCACTCACCCCAGATCTTCTTCTCCCTGTCAGCCAGGCCCAAACACCCGCTGACTTCCATGAGTGAAACTGTGCTAGCCTCAGGCCCTCTCATGAAGTTTAGCAGTAAAAACCCTGAAAATCGAAAGGGCTCAAGGACTAGTTTTTGTAGCAGTAAGGAAGTGGTGCTATGATGACTGTACCTTACTCCTTGGCCAGGCTGGAAATGCGAAGCCCAAAGACAGAGTAGAAAAGGCAGCTTCCAAAGGAGCTGGAAATAGGCTCCCCTTCCTTGGCAGTCTCCCAGTCCCAGAAAGCCTCTCTCCTCAACATCTCTCCCCCCTCTCCCTTCTTCCTCGTTCTGAACAATATCATCTCTCATTCATTTTCACTCAACAAATATTTAAGCATCTATATGCATCTATGTACCAGACAAGGTTCTAGATGTTGGGAATATAGTCATTTCCTCTTCTAAAATTTACATTCTAGAGGGGGAAATACAACATGTAAGTAAATAAATGAACAAGATGTATTCAAACAGCAATAAATGTTATGACTGAAATAAAACAGGAATGATAAGGTAGTTTGCTATGCATGTTGGGGGAATGATTAGCAAAGACTGGGTGATTAGAGAGGGCCTCACCAAGGACTGTGACGTCTGAGCTGAGACCTGAATAGCGAGAAAGCACTAGCTATTTAAAGACAACGAAATGGGAAGGGAGCACAAAGATGTAGCACAAGAATCAGTAAATACAAAGACCTGGAAGAGGGAATAAGCTTGGAATGAATAAGGTATAACATGGTTGAATTGAGGAGTAGGACAGGAAATGAGAGAAAGATGGGGACCTATCACAGGGCCTTGAAGAACATAGGAAGGAGTTAGGATTTTATTCTAAGTGCAAAAGCAAACCACTGGAGGGCTTTTAAATTAATTAGTTATTTTTATTTATTTTTTTAGGGATGGGAGCTTGCTCTGTTGCCCAGGCTGAAGTGCAGTGGCACGATCACAGCTCACTGCAGCCTTGAACTCCTGGGCTCAAGTGATCCTTCTGCCTCAGCATTCTGAGTGGCTAGGACTATAGGCCACTTGCCACCATGCCTAGCTCCACTGGAGGGTTTTAGGAAGGGAAGTGGTATGATTCCATTTGCATTTTTAAAAGGTTACTCTGGTATATATGTTTGTATATGCCTGGATGAGTATGGAGGAAGTTAAGTGTGTGAGGGGGAATACAACTGGGCATTGATAACAAGCATGTTACCTAATACATATTTAATATAACAAAATAAAAATTAAAATGTCAGTTTATCTGAGAGTAGAAAATGGATTTTAAGGGAGTGAGGATGCAAGCAGAGAGACAGGTTAGAAGGCTATTTCTATCCAAGTGAGAGTGTGACTTTCAATGAAACTACTATTCCAGTTGCTATAGTAACTATAGCCTCCTCTCGGGTCTCCTTCTAAAGTGCTGCAACCAGTCCTAATATGTCCACCCTTCCCCTGTTGCTCTGTATATTCTCCACAATACACTAGCGCATGAACTTGCTCCTCAAACAACATGTATGGCTCTCCACTGCCTACAGAACAAAGAATAAATCCCTTAGCCTGGCATTCAGAGCCTGACATACTATGGTCCAGATTCCCTCTTCAAACTTAATTCTGACTACATCTAGACTCCCTCTTGAAACTTAATTCTGACTACATACTAACTTCAACCTTCCAGAAGATAGCACTTTCTTCTCCCACCATCTACTCCATTTAATCAATACTTGCTTATCCCTCAAGACCTCCCCATGAAGTCTTCCCCGACCACCCTACTCCTTGGTGATTCCAATTTCTCGGAATTATCTATATACTTAGGACATGAACCAGCTGTCAAAGAACCACCCCAGGTTCTTTTAAAGCCATCAAACTTCAGAACAACTCTGTGTTATGGTTATGTTATATATGTGGTTATGTTATGGTTAGCTTCAAATAATAGCTATGGGCCAGGTGCAATGGCTCATGCCTATAACCTAGCACTTTGGGAAGCTAAGAAGGGAGAATCACTTGAGGCCAGGAGTTTGAGACCAGCCTGAGCAACATAGCAAGAGCTCATCTCTACAAAATATAAAACCATTAGCTGGGTGTGGTAGTGCATGCCTGTAACTACTCCAGTGGCTGAGGCAGGAGCATTGCTTGAGCTCAGAAGTTTGAGGTTATGGTGAGTTACAATGACACCACTGCACTCTAGCCCAGGCAACAGAGTGAGACTCTGTCTCTTAAAAAAAAAAAGGAAGAAAGAAAGAAGGCCAGGTGCAGTGGCTCACATCTGTAATCCCAGCACTTTGCCAGGCTGAGGCGGGAGGATGGCTTGAGGTTAGGAGTTTCAGATCAGCCTGAGCATGGGCAAGACCCCATCTCTACAAAAAACAGACAAAATTAGCTGGGTGTGGTGGCATGCACCTGTAGTCTCAGCTACTCGGAGGCTGAGGCAGAAGGACTGCTTGAGCACAGGAGTTTGAGGTTACAATGAGCTATGATGGTGCCACTGCACTCTAGCCCCAGCAACAGAGCAAGACCCAGTCTCAAAAAAAAGAAAAAAGAAACAGTGAGCGAGCTACGTCATGTTCTGAAACTAGACTGCAAGCTATTACAAGGCAGGGCCAGTGCCATTTTTTTCCCTTTAAAATAATAAAGTAGGGAAAAGAAAACCACTCAAAGGTATTGGCTGCTCTGAGTGGCCCCCCTCTGGACACCACCATTCACTCACACACTCAAGTCAACCCAAAGTTCATGCAACACACAGAGCACATTTGTGCCTCAGGGCCTTTTCACCAGCTGTTACCTCTGCCTGGCACAGATCTGCATGGTTCATTCTCTTACCTTCTTCAAGGCTTTGTTCAAATGCCCTCCCGAAGTCCTGATACGCTTCACCCAGTTCTTTTTTCCCATTGCACTTATTACTTTCTAACACTACGTCAATTATTTCCTTATGCTTATTGTCCAATCCCCCGCACTAGCATGTAAGCTCCATGAGGACAGGAAATTTTATCTGTTCACTGATGTATCCCCAGTCCCTCTATCCCAAATGCCCAAGCACGTCTCTTCCCTCCCGCCCCCGCCTCCAGGCTCAGTCCCCGCAGGACGCTCCCGGGCTGCGAGCCCCTCCCAACCCACGCAAGGTCGTGCGTGCCCCGCAGACCCCCTCCCGACGCGTACTCAGCCCTCCACATGCCCCTTCCAGGTCCCCTAAGAAGTCATTTTCGCTACCTCTCCGGCTTCTGCCCCTCCCCCTCGAGTTCCCACGTGTCCCCAGGCTGCACTGGCGGCGCTCACCGTCCGGATCCTTCTCGCGGTAGCACTGGTAGTTGCACTCCACCTCCAAGTTCTCCAGAAAGGACTTCACCTGCTCCTCATCCTGGAAATCCACCATGCCGGCCATGGCTCGGGCTCGCAAGGGTTACCCCAGCGCTCCGCCCCCACGTGAGCAGCGGAGGGGCGTGGCGTGGGGCGTGGCGTGGAGAGGCGGGACGCCGCCGCCCGCGCTCTTCCCGGGATTCCAGAAGGCCGAGCGCTGCGAGCCGGGACTTCCCAGCAGTCCTTGCGCCGTTGAAGGCTTTGGCAGGCCACGCTTCTTCTGTTAACCCCATTCGTACAACTGGTGGCGGTCTTTCTGTAGCATCTTATCTATGTCTGCTTTGTAGCCTTAATGATTTTCTGCCTGCAGTCATTTATCCATTCATAATCCCCTAAGCGCCTACTGTGTGCCACACCCGGTGCGGGGTTCTAGGGATATGACAGCTAGGAGGTATGGCCTCTGCCTTCAAAGACTTTGCAATTTAGTAGGAAGACATTCGTTTATTCATTCAGCAAGCATTTTGAGTACCTTTTATGTGCCATGTGTAGCTGGACAAACTGATAATCATTAAGTTGGTACAAAGTGCAATGGGAAGTATGTTTCATCTCTATATTCTTCCCAGACCCAACCTGGACACCAACGTGAATTACCTAAGCAATGAATGGCTGTGGGAGATGATGACTGGAACACAGTAGCAGTAAAGGTTATAGCAACATCACTGTTATGATAGCTAATGCTTAAAGACTGCTGAACTTTCACCTTTTTTAGACTTCTTTTTAGAGTTCCAGGCTCTATTTCTAAGACCTTTTTATAAATTAACTTATTCTCACTGTGACACTCACTGTGACACTGTGAGGTAGGTATTATTATCCCCATTCTGCAGATGGGGAAACTAAGGTACAGAGGTTGATTAACTTGTCCAAGGTCATATAGTGAGGGAGTTGGTATGCAATTATGCAATACATAGTTTGTTGAATAAAAGAATGAATAAGGTGGAAGAGGAACATACACCAATGGGAGAGGGAAGAGGAGAGGAACTTCACCTGTTTTTTGCTTTGTTCTGCTCCTGCTAAGAATCATCATTGCCTTAAAGTGCTTCATATTCCAGGGAAAAAACTAAAAAAAAAAAAATCATCATCGCCATAAAGCCTAGACGGAAAGTTTTCCAAAGACAGTTCCTATTCACCTTTGAAGCCTATCCAGCCCCAGTCTAGAACCCTCAGTGGAGCTCAATCCATGGCTTCCCATCACCTATAGCAGTGCTTTCCAAAAAGCTCCACCACTAACCTATCCCAAAGGGCAGTAGAGAATGGACTACTTCCAACCACTTCTTCATTGGAGAGCAGTGTGATGCAGCCGAGACATGTCTGAAATCCCAGTTTTATTTTTATTTTTATTTTTTTTTTGAGACAGAGTCTCGCTTTGTTGCCCGGGCTAGAGTGAGTGCCGTGGCGTCAGCCTAGCTCACAGCAACCTCAAACTCCTGGGCTCAAGCAATCCTCCTGCCTCAGCCTCCCGAGTAGCTGGGACTACAGGCATGCACCACCATGCCCGGCTAATTTTTTTCTATATATTTTTAGCTGTCCAATTAATTTCTTTCTATTTTTGGTAGAGACGGGGTCTCGCTCTTGCTCAGGCTGGTTTCGAACTCCTGAGCTCAAACAATCCGCCTGCCTCGGCCTCCCAGAGTGCTAGGATTACAGGCATGAGCCACCGCGCCCGGCCCCCAGTTTTATTTTTAAAATTCATATTATTTTACATTCAATTCCATAATACATCTTTAATAGGATAACAGAAAATTGTCTTTTCTCAAGCCTTTGAGTAAAACTGACATTCCAGGTGACATGCCACATTTACCTGTGCTTTCTAATACCCTTGATGTGATCACCGTAGGGGACTCCTCAGTACACATACCCCAGGTTGGGAAGCCCTGAACTTTGGTTTCGAGCCCATCTTCTTTAGCATGGCCTTCAAGGCCTTGTGCAATTTGATTCTAGCCTCATCTTGTGCCTCTCTTCCCCACACCCCACCCAACCTTCTGTTCTCTGAATAGGTCCCAAGTTTGTGTCCCTATTTACTTCTCCTCTTGATGCCTTCTTGGCCCAAATCAGACATCCTCTCCTCTATAAAGTCTTCCCAGATGCGACAACCACCCATACCCAAAATAGATTTAGATGCTCTTCCTTCAATGCCCCATACCACTTGGCTTATTCTGGTATAATGTAGTAGGAAATGACTGGCTTTGGAGGAGGGACAGATCTTAGTTCAGAATCCACGATCTATGTTTAATAAATTGTGACCTTAAAATAATCATGTTTGTGAGCCTGATTCGTTTTGTGTAGATGCAGATCCATTGTTTGGTTGTTAGAAGGACTAAAAGTTCATATATACAATGTGCTTAGCACAGTGCCTGGCTTAGAGTCATTCCTGTTCCAGAAATGTTTCTTGTCATGTTTGTAAGGAGTGGAAGTCTATGTCCCCCACTAGACGGTGACCTCTGTGTCCCTTGTGCTGGTCACAGGGCCAAGAATAGAGCAGAGCTTGATGAGGGTGCCGTAGATAACTAAAACCCGGGTTTGGTCATGAGTATTATGTATTTTTCCCTAATCATATTTGCTGAGTTGAGCTGCATTGAAATGAGATCACCTGAGCAGTAGAGGGCAACAGAAAGTTGGCGAAAAGATGGAAGAAAGGCTGAGCCAAGTATGAAGTCACATATTTTAAAAGGAAATTTAAGGTTATCAAAAGGGCAGCCGGCTTCTTTTTTTTTTTTTTTTTTTTTTTGAGACAGGGTCTCACTCTGTTGCCTGGGCTAGAGTGCCTGTGGCGTCAGCCTAGCTCACAGCAACCTCAAACTCCTGGGCTCAAGCGATCCTCCTGCCTCAGCCTCCCGGGTAGCTGGGACTACAGCCACGCACCACCATGCCCGGCTAATTTTTTCTATATAATTTTTAGCTGTCCAATTAATTTCTTTCTATTTTTGGTAGAGACAGGGGTCTCGCTCTTGCTCAGGCTGGTCTCGAACTCCTGAGCTCAAGTGATCCACCCGCGTCCTCCCAGAGTGCTAGGATTACAGGCGTGAGCCACCATGCCCGGCCCTTTTTTTTAGTTCTGTTCTTATCTCTGTAGGTTTATTTTCCCTCTATTGTTATAAATGTTTGCATTTACTTTTTAACCTTGTTTTAATTAGTCAAGTAATACATGACTATATGTTTATTGTATTAATAAATTAATTTCATGGTTTTTTGCCTAATAACCCTTTACTATAAGCATGATTCAACTTGCAGACACTTTTTAAACTGTTGCAGAGAAACCGAGGGTCAGAAAAGTTAAGTGATTTACCCTAAAACACACAGTGAGAGGAGTGGGAGAAGCCAGGCCTTTTGTAATCCTAGAGTTCATTAACAACAACCATCCTAGATCCTGAAGGAAGGAATTTAAAAGCATTATAAAGCTCCTCTCCTAGCTCCAGACTTAGGTTTTTGTTGTTGGTGGTGGTTTTTTCTTTAGAGATGGGGTCTTACTATCTCTCAGCTGGAATGCCTGGACACAAGTGATCCTCCTGCCTCAGCCTTCCAAATAGCTGGGACTACAAGTGTGCCACCACACCAAGCTTTAGACTTATATTTAACTATTATTTATTGATGACTAATTACAGGTTTAGTACTTTAGATACATTATTTCATTTATTCTTTGGAGCATTACTCTTCATTCATTCAACAAACATTCCCTGGGTGCTTAATAATGACTAGGGCTTAAGAGATGCAAAATTGAAAAATACAAAGCTTCAACAAGAACACACAACTCTTGGAAGAGGAAAAGCACTGATTAATAAACATATGATAACATACTCCTCCTAATGATCGAAGGAAGGCAAATGAAAAACAGCGTGATATTTTTCATCTATTATATTAACAAAGATTGGCATCCTATGTTTGTGAGGATGCTAGTAAGCTAGTATTCCCATATACTGTTGGTGGGAATATAGATTGATGCCTCCTCATTGGAGACCTATTTGATAATATTTACTAACATTTAAAATGTGCTTATATTTTTGACTACAAACTCAACTTCCAAGAATGTATCCTAAGAAATTTTTACTCAAATAAATATTTGTTGCAGTTTTGTTGTTGCTGCTGCTAACAACAAATGTTCAATAATAGGGGATTTGAATGCAATGTAGACATTAAAAAGCATAAAATAGGTCTATTCATATCGATACTGAAAGATGTTCTAATGCATTAAGTGAAAAAGAGTTGTATTGTATAACAATTTGTGTTTAAAACTTTTTTCTATATTCATAGAAAAAACCTGAGGGGAAAATACACTAGACTGTTAATAATTGCTAACCATGGGCTGGGAAGGAGTGAGGGAATTGTTTATAGGAGACTTCCGCAGTTTATATTCCATATTTATTTTTTTATGATAATTATATGTTACTTTTGTAAATAAACAAAATAATAAAAGTACTGTTTTAAGACATGATGTCTTCCCTAGAAGTGTTCACTGTCTTATGGGCCACTGCAGGATAGGTATTACTATCTCCATTTTATAAAGTAGGTTCAATGAAGTAAACTGATTTCCTCAAGGTCACAAAGCCCGCTCACCCTCTCCCGAAAGGGTTACAAGTCGGTGAGCTAATAGGACCCGCCCCGTGCGAGAGACTGGGCCAATCACATTTGCTGTGAGGTCACTTTGAAACCCTGGGATTGGTGCTCGTGTCTAAACCGAGCGGGCCTTCCTTACTAGCTGGTACAGCTGGGGGTGGAGGGCAGGAAGCTCCGGGTAGCTTTGTCCGACTCTCCGTCCTCTGCAGATCCCCTCGGGACTCTGAGCATTTAGTGGGTTAGCCGTGGAAGCACCCTGCCCTTCCTCCTGTGGCCGGTCAATCCCCCAAGCCTGTGCCTGCAGAGCTTGCAGCCCTCCCTCACTGCATCACTCCCAGCCACCCCCAGCCGCCCGCAAGGCACGGACAGCTGCTAGCCCTGCTCAGACTCACGTTTCAACTGCGATGATTGCACATCACACCGTCCCCACATGACCTGCCTGGCCTCGGGCCAGCGCAAAGCATTCAGAAACAGGACTCAGTG